TGAAACTTTGGCATCTCGCTCGAACGACTTGGGCTACGTTCTGACAGGGTTTGAGCTCTTCGCGATGTCTAGTTTTTGTTTGCAGTGCGAAAAGCAGGGCTCGGTTTTCTCATGGGCGCCTGGTAAATTTCAAATAAATTGATTTATTTAGGTACCTTTACCATTTGAAGTTCACCAAAAGTTCCTCTCAAGCAACGTACAGTGCGAAAGTTCTTGAAGTTCGTCAGTGTACCATCGCTCGAAAATTGATCGGAAGACGACACCTGCACCAATGAACTTGCCACGGCAAACGACGGCGCCGATGACAGTCGGCGTAGGTTTACGGCGGTTCAGGGACGGTTGTGCTTGTTGCGCTATCTCCCTGTAAGTGATGCGAGCAGACGACGCACTCGGTCGAAAGCAGATGACCTGCTCACTATAGTTATTGAGAGATGGCGCCCCATGCGCCACAAGTCCAGCACAAGTCTTACGGTTCTGCACAAGTCCAACCGTCGCTAACTCTGTCGTCCGCCATTGACCGTGGCAGACTTGTTGACCTCTTTTATTTATTTATTGAAAGGGAGCTACGCCTTGAAATTTTACAAGGTACACACCTTTGGTGAAAATTTGAGATCACTGCATGCAGGCGTCGATTTTTCCGACCGATTTTTGAGCCAGTTTAAGTGCAGTACAGGGATCGAACGAGAAAATAAAACCCGGTTTTTCGGCCTGCATAAACCTAGCATCGCAGAAAGCTATGAACCCGTTCACACACTTGCAACCGAGTACGACCGAGACAGACGAGACCTGTTGAAAACTCTTAAAATTTCTTAGGACGATTAAAGTAGAAGTTTGGGCTAGTTGGTATTTCATGATCAAAGATTAAAACGCCTTGTTTGTCTACCTTTTTGTTCTTGTCCGTGTCCTTGCGCTGCTTTAATCTTTAATCTTAGGACGAGAGTACACACTAGAGTTCCTGTATATGCTACCTACGGCTCCCGTAGGGAGCCTATACAGGAACTCTAGAACACACTGGCACTCGGCGCCATCTATGCGATGACCGTGGAACTGCATTTCACAAGAGCGAAGGTTTTGCAGAATTTCCGAGGTCAAATGTGCATAATACCTATGAGAAAGGCTCGTTTATAACGTTGACAAAAGTTTTTCGAGCCAAGAAAGAAAGGATAATGCGCGGGAGAAATAGAAAATATGCCGGACCGCCAAGTTTACACTGCTAGCCAATAGATCGCGCTAGTGTGTCCTCTCGTACAGGCTCTGCTCTCGTAGTAGGAGATATTAGAAGGTTCCAAGGCACCCGGTTCTAAGAGGTCGCAAGTGTGTGAACGGGCCTAAAGGGGTACCACAACGAAATTTCGGCGCTTATTTTATGGTCTACCGTATATGTGTTCAAAGGAGCAGTATCACGTCGGACACACCAATATCTTCTTAAAAAAGACACGAAAAGGAATTTTAAAACGAATTGATTAGCAAAGAGCACCTGGCGGATGTCGCTAATGCCTCGTTTGTAATGCCCATCTAGGAACCTTGAGAGGTAGTGACGGTTAGGGTGCCTTCATGTCCCCCTTCGCGAACATGAAGGCGCTCTAGCCACGACGAGAGAAGAGGGGAAGGAGGAACCCCCCTCTTTCCGCGAATTCCTTTTGTGCGTCCCAGGCGTCGCTATTGTCTCTCTACAAGATTATAGAAGATTAACCCGTCACTCAAAATTCTTACAAAGGCAGCCGCTTCGTTAACTGGAACGACTAGGCCATCCTCTCGACGTCAGCCTCGCGGTAGCTTTGCTCGTCCCGAGACGACCTACGTCACGATTGCGTCGGATGTCACGTGGTCTAAGCTGGGCCTTCTCCGAGCAATTGCCAGAATGGGCCGTTTATAACAAAAAATAGAGTCACAAGGCTCAAAATACAATCGTGCGATTGTCATTTACTGATATTGTGGATCATATTAAACCTATTTTTGAACACGACGGATATATTTTAAATTTCGTTGAAGTGACTCCGTGAGATAGTGACGCTAGCGGTGGGGATAAAATGCGAAAGCGTGAGCACGTGACGTTACGTGAATCAAAAGATACCAACGAAAAACAAAATTTATGAGTCGACGCCCACCTGTCTAATATTCATGAAACCAAAATTTTAGTTTGGGCGTCCATAGCAATTATGTCAGTAAAAAAAAAAATCGTCTTCCTGGCTTTTTTTTTTTTTTTTTTTTTTTTTTACTAAAAACGTTTTAAGGGCGTTTAGAATATCAAATTTTGGTTTGATAAATTAGGCTTAGGTGAGTGTGGGCTCATAGGGAAATTGTGTTTTCTTTTGTATATTTTGATTCCCGTGCTCAAATTTGCACATTTTAACACCACCGCTAGCGTCCCATTCTCACGGAGTGTCGGCTTTCTGCGATACGTAGAAAGGGCCATTACGGTCACGCTGGTAACGCGAAACAAATTTCTATAATATTCTTTTTTCCTTTTTTAAATGGTAGCCGGACGCAAACAGGAAAAACCTGCTAACTCCGTTGACGCTACTCAGTGTGACGCGGGTGATGTGTTAACATGTACATACACTTCTTGTTACTCGACAAGACTTGCTGCACCACACCCTTAGGAAGTATGTTACATAAACCAGGGCGCCAGTACGGCGTTTCATGACTCTGGTTTCGAGTCTTCTGTGTCCTGAAAATATGCTGTCGAGGTCGTGGCGGGAGCGCTGATGCTGACGGCTTGCTTGCCTCTTGAACGGGTGCCTGCGTATGCGCGAACGAATAACGTCACTTCCGGTGATTTCACTCCTCTGGTACCAACGTTACTTCTTGTCAACGTTACTAGTTGACAGTATACTAGAATACGGGGTTGTATTTGAACCGCCGTGACTCGACAATGGGAGCTCGCAACGCTGCTGGGCCACTGTAGCGCTGCAGTCGACAGGGCAGCGGAAACCGAAGGTCGCTGCAGCCCGCACGTGCCGCCGCACGTGTACATTACAGTGGTTCTCCAATGGGGGTCCGCGAAGGCATCCTATAGGGGTACCCGAAGCTCTGCCTCATCAGTCAAGCCGGACAATAAAAGTTGTCTTTTTCAGATTGGGAAGAAACGTTCCAATATTGGGGGTGAGTTTTCTCCTGTGTATGTCAATGAGAGAAGTGTACTTCGCACTAGCTCTTAGTTATATCCATTTATAAAATCAGTATCATAATTAACTTATGCATTTCCCTTCCCCTCACCATAAACGGGGTCCTCCATCATTTCCGCCGATGCACAAGGGGTCCGTGAAACATCAATGGTTGAGAACCATTCTAGTACAATGTATACGTAGATTACGCCACTGACCGGAGGATGACTGCTATGGTAATTGCTCTGCAGTGTAAATGTGTGTGTGTGTGTGTGTGTGGGGGGGGGGGGGGGGGGAGGTAGGGAGGGAGGGAGGGGGAGGGGTACTGCTTTTCGCGAGTGTTCCACAAAATTTATAGTAACCTTGAAGCATCTGCGCCCACTCCGTTTTGGAGTTAGCGCCACTGACGTGATGTGGCGTCAGAAACATGATTGGTGTGGTACTAGTTACTCGTGAAGTATTTTTTGAAAGCTTGTTAATCTAGCCTGGTTTGATCTTCCGAATCGCCTTGCTTGCGTAGTTTCACTACTGTCCAGAGATTTGGGGAAGGATCATATTTTTCAGTAAACGAGTATACCGAAAAATATGATCCTTCCCCAAATCTCTGCGTCTATACATATGGAACTATTTACTTCATGCAAACGTCTAATAAATTTGGTTACGATTAACATTACTTAAGTAAACAAAACAAAAACCATCGGAAGCTCTGGGACTCTGTGACGCGAAACTTGGTAGAAGGCGCATATTTATGTCGTCCAACTCGTGGGAAAAAAAAAAAAAAAAGGAGATCTTTCAGATTTTTGAAATGTTTGGTACCACAACATTCACCTTATCGACACTGCATGTTTCAGATAGATTTAAAGCACATTGTTCTTGTCATCAACCAGGTAATTTTTTTTATAAAACAACAACAAAACACCCGCATAATGTTTTTAGGTGAGATGAAAAGCTTTTTTTATACTTTGTTTTACTGAGACGCAGATGTACTGAAGCTACATTATGGGTGCCGATTTCGCAGAATAATGACGCAGAAGCGTTGAACTGGATGCTACGAACTCTTAAACATCACGCATACATCGATATCTCAAACGGAGGGCGCGTGCGATCAAGCGAGGACTTTGACGTCACGATCCTCCTGGAGCATTTGAGAAGGAGGGGAAGCAGCCTTACTTTTCTCCTCGCTTCGGCTCACCTGCTCGAGAAGGCGAAGCGAAGCGAAGGGAGAGGGAATAAGAATCGTGACGTCACATGTCTCGTCGGCCTCGCCGGCCGTGTTTAATCGCGCACTTCAAAAATACGGCCAACCTTTTGAGATATCGCTGTCTGAGGGATGGTTTTGGTTTCAGAACTAGGCTGGAGTGATAGGCGGGGTGGGTCGCCTAACGCTCTCGCCTTGTTTTGTGAGCTCCAAATTTCGGTTCAGCATCCCTTTATATATATATATATATATATAATGATTTATAACAACCCAAATTGGGATTTTCTCTCGATAACACATTTTTAAACGAGTCATATCTGTTGCCCGAAGCATCGTAACTTCGAAATATTGATAAGAAAATGCCGGGGGCGTCGGCAGCTCAACGCAGCCTATTTCTGTAGAAACCAGAAGAAAATAAAACCATATTATGATTATCTGATTTCCATGTTCAAACATCGTCCCGTCTCGCTCTAGAAAATATTAGCTTCTTTTCGTTACAGAATAAGCCTTGTGTTGTTCCTATATTGAAGGAACGCGTAACGTTAAGCGGTTTGAAAATCATCCACGAATAATCTTATCTCGTAGTGAGGGGAAAAAAACTTGCATTATCTTCCTTTTTTCGCCAGACTTACCTTTTTTTTTTTTTTCTCCGCGATGCGTTGGAGTTTTTTTGCTCAGCATCGTCTGCAAGATGCACAAACCAGGCATCGCATTCACCGCCAGCTGATCGGCAAACGTCCGCCAAGGCGAGCAAGGAAGCGTCGATGCCCAGACAGTGTAAGCTCGTATAGACCTAAGATAAGCCGGGCTGTGTAGCTTGGCGACAGCCCCCTCAAGACAAATACCGCCCCCTTTCTAGCAGACTACACTGTCGCGGAAATGCGGCGCGAGAAGGCAGACGACGAGTGTCGCCTGATGTTTATCGCGATCGTATGCGCAACCGTCGCGGTCGCTATCGGCGTCCGTAGGATGGTCCTTGCGTTGGCTCGTGCCGCCGTCGCTGGGACAAGCTGTCGTCGTCGGCGCCTTTCGGATAAATACCTCGTGGTCTACAGGGCAGTGGACGGTAAGTGAAGCGTCGCTTGTCATTGTTCTTTTGCCGTAGACAGCTAGCCAAATATTGTTCGTCGCCGTCTTTCCTGCTGCAGCGTAGAGTTCATCATATACGCCGCTTTTGGTAAATGGAAATACTCTTCATGGTTGTAAAACAACATTTATTAAGCAACGAGTGTTTTTTTTTTTTTTTTTGCTTCTGACGGAAGTGTGTGTGTGTGTCTGTGATACCATAAACACGTGATAGGAGCTGCGTGTTTAAGTTTTTTTGAAAACTAAAAAAAAAAAAACAAGAACAAAAAAAAACATTCAGAGTTTACAAATAAAGCTTCTGCTAATGTGTTCCAACAAACTGCAATACTGTGATTGAAAAAAAAAAAAAAAACACACTCAAAAAAAAAAACAAAAAAAACGGGTAGGTTATGTTATTATTTTGCGAAATGATCTAAAACCGACTAAGTGCAGCTAGGAACCGCAGCAACGCGTAATGTAATTTAATACAATCATTTATCGTAGCATCACGTCTGAGGTATGTGTTGGCCAGCTATTGTTTACGGAAATGAAGCTTGGCCTATTCCGTGCCTCACGAGTATAATGGCGGTGAATGTAGAAGCGTAAACTAAATCTGTCACCGCTACTTTTCTCTCTCTCTCTCTCTTTGTTTCTGATGTTACGCGGCGCAAGTTCATATGGCTTTTGAGCACCGAGGCAAGAATCCCAAAAATATCCCTCTCGACGATATCAGGGGATCCGTAGCAAGCGTTATCGTGACGGGCCTTTCTGGTCGACTTGCTGCTGATATATTTTCTTTGATTCGTGAAAGTATGCGACTAGAAACTGAGGTAAAGGAGGGAATGAGAGTGCACGGCTACGATCGGATTCGAAGGATTAATGGGTACACGCAAAGGCTAACCGCCTTCGTCTCTACTCGTTTGAACTGTGAGTACAGACAAAGGCAGCTAGAGCCTTTTGCGTGTACGCAACTAACCGTTGCGCTCCTGTTCTCCTCTCCCTCAGCTTCTTCCCGTAGTCTGTTGTGCGCCCGCCACGTGATACTCATTTCATTAAATTCGTTTGGCTTCGTGATTCACTTGCCGTCGTTTGCTGCTTACACAGCGCCACACGAATAGTTTTTTTTTTTTTTTTTTTTTTTTTTTTTTTTTAAAGGAGGGGGGGGGGGTCGAGAAATTCTTATTAAAACTACTAGTGCGATATATGAGAAAAATGCGGAAAAGCACCAATGTCGTGTTGGAGGTTAACAGTGTCGCGCAGTTTACCTTGAAACCCACACGGCGACGGCGCCGTAGGGTTGTCTTCTCCGCGGTGCACACCCGCTTGCGGCGAAGCCGGCTCTACGTGGCGCTTGCTTTATTATTATGTGCGTCCGTTTCATGCCGGCCAGCTAGCTCCTCTCTGTTACACTGGTGTTGCTAATGAAGATACCTTGAGACCGGTCGACCCCCGTCTCCGTGCGTCAGAAAGCGAACAAACGAAAAAGAAACGGCCTAAGTGGGGGTTGTTAAATATTTAAAAACAATGCGCGCGACCTCTGAGACGCACGCACGCACACCTCATTGTCCGGGTTTTCGAGGAAATTGAACGGATCGTTTTCCCGAAAAAAGCGGAAATTAAAAAAAAAAAAAAAATCGAGGTTGGCAACAACAATGAAACGCGTTTTCTTTTTTTTCTTTTTGTCGTCGTCTGCAAGAAGTCTGTGTGTCGTCTGCGACAGTGCTCGCGGAGGTCGGTATCGTGAGGGTTTTTTTTCCTACTAGAGGAAGATCGAGGTCTGACCGTAGTACGAGGGAAAGAAAAAAAGCGAGACAAACAAAAGAAGGAGGTGGCGATTTTCCACCCGCCGTCTTTCCCTCGTTCGTCGGCGGGGAACGGCGTTCGCACGCTCGTCGTGCAGCAGCAGCAGTGTGTGAAGCGGCCTGAACGGATATTCGCGGCGTCCCACAGGGAGTTTGAGAAAGTTTCGTGGGTGCGAAGGACACGTGTGCACCGTTTGCTGGACGCGGAACCATGGACACCAGGACCGGTATGGCGACTTATATTCCACCTTGAGACCGCACTCTCGTTTTCCTTTTTTTCTTTTTTTGCTTTTTAACGGCAACGCGCGTTTGTTGTGGCTGCATAGGGGTACCTTTGGGTTCAGTAGGTCGCGATTACTATATCTATATCACGTGGTCTGTACTTAAGAAGTGTGGTTGGTATATGTTTTGCGTTTTGCAGGCTCAACCGCGTAGTTTGTTTAAAGTGTGTATATATATATATATATATATATATATATATATATATATATATATATATATAAGCAGTAACGCCTAACCTCTTTTAAAGTACTGAAGTTTTTTCTATTTTTTTTTTAGGAAAAGGGAGGGGGAAAGTTTCATTTTAATTTTAGCGCTTTTTTTTCTCATGTGATTTAGGTTATAGATGTTTAACGCTGTTTCAGGTGTGGCAGTGGGGATTTCTTTTCTCTCTCTTTCTCTTTACGTGACTTGCTTACGGTGCTATATCTTTTTGTCGGCACATCACGTCCGTGTATCCCTCCCGCTGAATATACGCTAATTTTAGCAACAGACAGTCGGTTGTCGCAAATCCCCAAGAGGAAACGCCCTGCGGGCCCCGATATTTCTATATCCAGCTCGAAGCAAGAAGCAGTTAAATAATAATAGTAATAATAGAGCGACGCAAACGGGCGACTCACGCATCAGAAGCGTCTGAAAATCAACTTGAGGAGCCTTATACCGGGTGCCTGGAAGTAATAAGAACCGTGTTTTTTTCCACCGCAAAAATAAACTGCGCGCGTCGTACGCTGGGTTTCTGCCGAAATGTAGCGCTAGCGGTCGAATCAGATGTCAAAAATTTGCAGAACTAACCCTATTATTATATATTATCCGGGATTTCGGGAATTTTTTTTAGGGAATGGAACGCGTTCTCGCGGTAACGTTTACCATTCTTCTTCACGTATTCGCGAGTTCCATTGGTAGTCATTTATTCGTTAAAAATTAAAAAAAAAAGCCTAGAACATTTTTTTTTATACGAAACGTTTTGAAATTTTGCGTTTCAACCGCTAACACTCTCAAACATTCGGTATTTTTTTTTGTGCCGCCGCGGCCGTCTCAAGCCAAGCACGAAAAATCGCAAGAGGGCCTCCAGACTTGGCAATGCTTTCGTTTGAGATATCCTACAATAACGTGAACTCTTTTGTAGCCCCCTGTCTAAGTGGATACAGTTGTACGTTGAGTAATTTGGAGTAACCTTCTTGGGCTTTTTCATTTTTTTTTTTTTCGCTATTGTGTGATTTGGTTGGTGGCGTGATGTCGAGATGACGTGTGTGCCTGCTTTCCGGCTTTTTGTGCGTCGGAATCGGCGGCGTATATAGTTTCTAGGACAGCCGCCTGGAAGTTCGCCAATCGCGCCACTTTCGCTCCGAACAACCGCGGGGAGCGTGCGGAGGGGTAAATTAATTGCTCGTTGTTGTCGGCCCACTTGTAGCATGCTTGTGGGCATCTGGGACTTTCGATGCCAAAGAGATCTGATTCTGCGGACCTTGCCATCAAAGTTTTGTCTTCCATGCGCCTCGTATTTTTATTTCTTATCTTTAGTTAAGTCTCGTAATGTATCATAAGTACTGATTTCTGTTTTCCCCCTCACAATACTAAAAAAAAAAAACGCCGTTTGTTTGTTTGTGCTCATTGATAAGCCTTGCTCAACACAACTGTAGATTTGTCTATGGCATAAATATGGTAAATTTTACGGCGTTATTGATTTTTTTTTATCCTCACCGTTTTTTTTTTTTTTTTTTTACGAGCTGGAAGTTTTTACTGGCAACTCTGGAAAAGTGACGCCATGGAAGAAGAAACGTAGGCAGATTAGCACTGGGAACACATGGAAAGGCACCAAATGAGGGTGTACAAGGGCTGGTCGTCTTTTGAGAGCAGAGAGGCAATTAGTAAGTTGAAATTTGAACGAAGGTTGACCGAAATGGGTGACAAGCGGTGGCCACGGAGGGTATTCAAGTATTTATACATGAAAAGTTTAAACACAAAATAGACGAACCAAACCCGATTGGAAATGTAGAGGTCCCTAATTCGATACCAGGACCAGGCGGATTTTGTTTTTTCGGTCGCGCATCAGTCATCTAGTTGTGTTTGTAGATTTGTATTTGTCCCTTGTCCCCCCTTTTTTCCCTCCCCAGGGATTATCATCATTCTCCGAATGCTTACATGTATATACCTACACACTAGTGATGAGGCTGGCTACCGCCGTTGCAAATGGTATAGCCATTCACAACCATCCATATCCATCCATCGGCAGGCGCAGGTTCACTCTTTGGGCAGGAAAACTTGTTCCCAAGTGATCGCAACAAGTTTGGTGGCGCGGAGAGAATGGTCTGGAAGCTCACTTCAGGACCCCTTGTTCTCTCTCTAGACTGCATGCTCGTGCCTGCCAATGACGTCACGGCGATGGAAAACGCGGCAATTTTGGAATGTTGGTTAAAATTAACGTGGATACTCGTGTACATAGACAACATTTTTGGGGACGAACTGGGTAAATGCATGTATTTTTGTCTCGTTATTATAGAACGCCGTCGACATCACGACGTCACTGTACTGCGTGCCGGGCAGAGGGAATCCCGGGTATTCAGAAAATATAATAAGGTTTGCTATCTACAAATTCGGAGGAATAAACGCTGCCGTTTGGTTTGGTCATTAGGTTACACATAATAAAAAATAAAAGCGAAAAAAAAAAAAAGAAAAAAAAAAAGAACACGTAAAACGACGGCGGACACCACATATATGTTTATATGAGCGCACTGCGGTGTACGTCGTTCTTCTACTTGTCCCTCGTGCTGTTTTTTTTTTTTTTTTTCGTTTTTATTTTGTCACAATGCACAACTAACTCGTCCAAGTACTTATCCTTCCGCGGTTTTGGTTAGTTTGACGTGGAGGTTGAAATGTTCCTTTGAGGTCGTGGCCTTTGGTTCTATGAATGTTGGAAAAC